GCAACCAACCAACCCAGCAGGAAAACATGAGCGCATATTCCAAATAGTACATAGTACTAGTTAGGCCGAGGCAAGAATTTAGATCTCCAAAGGGAAAGTTTTCGTTCTCCTTTGTGTTTTTCAATATGAAGGACTGTAATAACAAATGTAAGGCACGATAAATGATCTGCTTTTAGATTTTTAGAGACTAATGAGTAATACAAAATTAAAAGAAAAAAAAAAAAAAGGATAAATTCTCACTCCTTACACCACAAACCTCAGAAACGGCAGCCACAAAGTAATTACAAATTTCCTAAAATGACTACATTATACATTAATTGCAATAAAAAGATTCACTCAGTGTTAAACTGTGGTTGCAATCTCAATAAAATGTGATTCACTGCCAAAGGTTTATGTATGTTTAGATGATAGTTAACCATCACCATAATTATTCAAAAATAATAATTCTTAAAAAGAAACCTACACGCATGTCAGCCTTACACAAAAGAAGGAAAATAATGCCACTAAAACCTCAACATTTAGCATATCTTCCTTTTCTTCCACAAATTCAAGTCCCATAAAATAAGTTCTATTTATCAGAATAAATCCATTCATTTCCCTTAAAGGGTTTCAGAGAAAGATGGAAAATAGCAAACATGTTGATGGTGTGGGGAGGGCATTAGTCATATCATTTGCAGGGTCTATATTATGGGGAAAATGTTTTAGAAAGTATGAGTGTGGCTAGCAACTTATGTGTTTGATACGTTTTTGTTCATGTAGACACATGGGCAGAAAAATTGATTAGATGACCTCTTATTACCAAAAGCCTTCATTAAGGGTCTCAGCAGGCAAAGAGTATTGTAAGCAAGAAAATACTATGTCCCATTTTTCTAGAAATTCACTCTCCAAGAGACAGGCTTGACCAGAAAGAGAAAATGGTAAGAAAAAGCATGAAATAATCAAGGCCAGGGGCCAGAAGAGTAAGAGGGGGTGTGAAAGACAGGACATCTGCCTCCACCGTCCTGCGGGATTTCCTAGTGATGAGACTGCAGTGGTTAGGACAGCACAAAACTAAATTGGCCGGATAACCAGAATTGGGGACCTTGTACAGTCATTTTATGACAGGAAAGTACCAACGACTCCTGGGAATATAGAAAACAGCATAGCTGGAATCTGCTCTGTGATTTCTCAGATGGGTGGTTCAGAATTTTCAACATAGAGAACGCTCTAGGCTGCAAAGAATACGTTGCCAGTGGAATGAAAATCCTGAAAAAATGTTTTCAATAAATGAAATGTGTAGAAAAGTCACGGGCAAAAGTTCAGAAAGACAGAGTTCCAGTCATGCTGATGCAGAAAGAGTAGCATAAGAAATAAAGCGTTTCTCCCTCCTAGTGGAAAAGAAAAAACTTGAGTTCACCAAAAACCGTACAAGAAAGAAGGGACATAATATTTAAAAAGTCAACTTGTAATAAGTTCCTTGCAAACTTATTTTTTAATGTCATATAAGTTATAAAGAATACTTATTATAACCAATTAGAGAGTTTGGCAAATTAATAAGTAAAAATGATATGAGTGGCATGATACGAGTGAGCATGAGGAGGGGGTCCTGGGTAACAGGATATGGATTTCCCAAGAAATGTCCAACTCGTTTCAAGAGAGGCTGAACCGATTTGCATCCTCCCACAAGAGATCCACTGATGGTGTCCTCCACAATATTTGTGTTTGCAGGCTTCTTAACTCCCATGCACCTACCAAGACACTACCTTGTAAATAAGGATGCAATCTTGTTATTTTGTCTCCCCAGGACCTGGCAAAAAACCAGAGCCCCATAACTAAACAGTGAGTAAAAGTGAAGTGAAGGAGCCGAGCCGAGACTTCAGCCAAGATATGTTGCTGTGCTTCTCATTTTAAATTTCAATCTGGTACTTTTTTGCTGCCTTTCACTCTTCTACACTGCCTCTCTCATCGAGCTAGACCATTTTAAAAACCACAGAATGGGAAGCACATTAACTTTCAACTAGCATGGAACAAAAGCAGTGAGCAAAAGATAGAAAACGCATCTATATGATTTTATTTAAATAGCCCATAAAAATAAGAATACCTGTTTCCAAACAAGAGTTTGGACCAGGGAAAATACACATCCTAAGTATTTCATAAACATTTGTTAATTGTGAATAAACGAAGACCAAAAGGAAAAATAAAATAATTTAAATGGTAATAGTAATAGTGAAATACACCAGTATGAAGTGGCTACTGATTGTTCTAATTATAGAAACTAAATTCATAGTTTCAAGAAGAGATAAATCACTCAACAAATGCTGAAGTGCAAAGTCTAAAATTAAAAAAGAATATAAATACCTTCGTCATTAGAAGTGCCACAAGCCCATTATGAGTTTTAAAGTGGGGCTCTGTAATGGGTTTGAGAAGCAAGCCTGCAATTTGGGCCAAGGGCTTATTTAAAGTCTATAATGGTCATCTGCTTATCAAGGAATTAACTTCCCCTGCAGACCACACAATATTCCTGTGACTTCCATTAAGAGACAGAGAAGAAAGAATGATAGAATGAAAGATAAGCAACAAATTTCTCCAGTTCTAATCAATAATAAATTAAAATTCGGAATGAAAGTGGAGACCAAACAAGTGCGTCAAACCTGTGGGAGTACCATCAAGCCTTAAAAACAACTATCTAGCAAAACAGCATTTATATTTAATAACACTTTAAAAAATTATCAAGAACGGTAATACATTAAACTCTGCCAAGCTTCTACAAGAAATGCATTTTAAGTATGAATTAAGTGCTAGCACACACAAGTTATACATTTCTTTCTCCTAACTTTACATTTCAAAATTTAAAAAGCTGCTATGGGAAAAATCTCTTGAAAAATGATTACTGATAACGTTACTAAATAAGCTTCTAAAGGGTTTCATCTAGATTTGAGAACATCATAAGCATGAAGAGCTCATTTATCCAAAACTAACACATAACTTAGCCTGAAATCCTGGCATTAAATCTGGGTTAAAAGATGCCTGTAACAATTGGGGGTTTTTAAAAATTTGTTTTCTTAACAGCAACATTAATTAAGTAAAATGAATTGCATTTGGAGATGACAGTGAATACTAAATTACCAAAGTCAATTGATATATATGAGCAACATTGTTTAATCTAGAAATTCTATATCATTTATTTACTGTACATATCATATGTGTAATACATGTCAACTAAACATGTATTACATGTACAAAAACAGTCTTAATTCTCTTAATCCCATGATTCTTTTTTTTAAATTTATTTTTATTTTTTTGAGACAGAGCCTCAAGCTATCCCCCCTGGGTAGAGTGCCGTGGCTTCACAGCTCACAGCAACCTCCAACTCCTGGGCTCAAGCGAGTCTCCTGCCTCTGCCTCCCAAGTAGCTGCGACCCCTGGCTATTTTTTGGTTGCAGCCATCATTGTTGTTTGGCGGGGCAGGGCTGGATTCCAACCTGCCACCTTAAGTGTATGTGGCTGGCACCTTAGCCACTTGAGCCACAGGCGCCGAGCCAATCCCGATTCTTAAATTAAATGAATTTACTTGCTGTAAATGTTTGCTACAATGGATTTCTTAAGGTTAATAATATTTAATTGAAAATGTTTTATTGTGTGAAAGTCAAATTTTTGTTTTTTAATTTATGTATTTGTGTTTTTGCATTCAGAACCAGTTGAGGAAAGTGATCAAAGCACGTGTTACCTAAATAAGAGATCTGTTTTAACTAGTTCTAATGGTATTAATGAGAAGGTGGGAAAATGACAGTAATAAACTGTTTATGTTTTAGAAAATTACACGCAATTTCATCTCTGGCCAATTTAGTAGCATTTGTTTAACTGTTGTAGCAAGTGCATCAAATATTTCACAAGCTAGTTGAGAAAGTTAAGTTGATAGTCTAAGATGCCTAACTTTTAGGGAACCCAGGAGTTTCTGGTCCATTATATGAAAATCCCATAAAATATATACTAGTTCTTTACAGAGAAAATGTACGAATAATATTATATTAGATATCCGGGTCCAAAAAGTACCCTTTTAGAAACTGTGGTTACAAATACATATCATTAAATTTACCATCTTAACCATTTTTATGTGTACTAACTATACCATGGCCTTAACTGTAGTCACACTGTTATATAACAAATCTCTAAGCAGTTTTCATCATTGAACTGAAACTATGTACCCATCGAACAAAAACTGCCCTTCCCCAAAAAACACCTATTTAAAGACACAAAAGGTTCATATATTTTTTTAAATGGAAGCACTATGGATTCTTATTTCCACACATTCATACAATCACTATATCACAATAAAGTGAATACTATAATAGATTTATTCTACCCATCACAGTGTTACCTTTCAATATATAGAGAAAACCATATTTTCAATTGATATAATGTCCTAAATTTTTGTAAATCATATTTGTTCAGAGATCTGACAATTCTCCGAGGATACCTGAGTAATTAGTATAAATGGGAGGGATAGATTATCAGTTGGCAATTTTTCCCAGTAAAGGGCAAGAGAGTCAATATTTTAGGCGTGGTGGGCCACAGGGTTCTGTTGCAATGATTCTACAGTGAAATGCACAAACACAGCTGTGGGCAGTACAAACACGAATGAGCGTGACGGTACCTACGAAAATGCATTTATAAAGCAGGCGCAGCCTAGATTTCTCTAGTGGTCCATAGTCTGCCAACCCCTGAGAGACAGATTAAGAGGACAGGAAAGAAGGCCAGAGGACAGAGAGAGGCAGGAGTGAGGGAATGGGAAAGAAAGAAAATCAAACAGAAGTACTAGCAACTATTACTCCTGAGAACAAGTAGGAACTCAGGGGGATTGACATGATCTATTCTATTGACTAACTTTGATATGGAGGCCCCAGAAAACGGAACAAATTTCTTTTATGACTGGCTTCCATGCTGACTGAACTATTGGCATCCAGAACATCAGCATAAATAATGAAAATATTGATCCTGAGTGAGTACATCACTGTACTTACCTTAGTAATGGATGGAATATGACAGTGATGTTCCTGGCTCCAGGTTTGCAGACAAATTTTGTTCCTCCACCTTCAATTAAGTTGTCATCAGGACCCCCTTTCAGAAAAAAGAAAAAAAAAAGGAGATTTAGCACACTGAAATTTTATAAATAAATGATCCAAGCCCATCTGGATGAGTGCTGTGCTGTCATAAGTAGAACCATATTTAGAAACAATTACCTTCAATACCTATAAAATTATTTTGAATGATTTAGTCCAGCCTTCTCACTTGAATAAACAATGGATTAAAATTTTCATTCTCCAGTCAAAAAATAGAAGCAAAATAAGAATGAATGGTATAGTTAAAGCAATGGTGTAAGGATATCGCTCAATTAAAATTTTGATCTCTAGCAAACAGTGTCTACCTTGGACAGTACAGCACATCAAACTTTCAGGGGAAGGAAGAGTCCTTCAAAGTTGCCCTGTGCTATAAAGGTTGTCACAGAGACTGACAGAAGCCTAACTATATTTTTTTAAATCTAAGATCCCATCAATTCTAAGATATACTGTTATTTTGTGTTAAACTAAGAAAAAAAAGGTTAATTAAACTATACAATTATTAAAAAAAACTATACAATTATTTTTTATTTTATATTTTCTTATTTAAAACCTCCTTTGAGACACAGTAGCTCACACCTATAAGCCTAGCACTCTGGCAGGCTGAGGCAGGTGGATGGCTTGCCATCACAAGTTCCAGACCAGCCTGAGTAAAAGCAAGACCCTGTCTCTAAAACAAATGGTCGGGCATTGTGGCAGATGAGGTGGTCCCAGCTACTGAGGACACTAAGGCAGCAGTATCCCTTGAACCCAGGACTTTGAGGTTGCTGTGAACTAAGACACCACAGCACTCTATTCAGGGTGACAAAGTGAGACTCTGTCTCAAAAACAAAACAAAACAAAACAAAACGTCCTTAGGCTTTTTAAGTAAATAGATGTTTACTATAAATCTCTCAAGCACATTTTGATAAGGAAATACAAAAATATGAATTCATTAATCTAGTAGTAAAACTATGTGATATTCAAAGTCTGGTTCTTCTGAATTACTATGGCACAGAATTGTCAATGTCGTTTTTTATTTTATTTTTTTTTATTGTTGGGGATGATTCATTGAGGGTACAAGAACCAGGTTACACTGATTGCATTTGTTGGATAAAGACCCTTTTATAATTGTGTCCCATCCCCAAAAGGTGTGCCACACACCGTGATCCCCCACCCCCTCCCTCCTGCCCTCTCTCTGCCCCGTGTCATCCTGTGTCACCAAGAGCATCAGTTTCTTACAGGAGAGCTCCACGCATTCAGTATTTTATTCCAAGCTGCTGATTCCCATTCTGTAAAGGTTTAAGTTGATGCTATCAAAAGGGTTTCCTGTACAAACTAGGAGTCAAATTCTTCCTCAGATGGTCCTTAACTGATTGATTAATTGAAACAATGAAAGGTCAGAAGAAGTGATGGCCAAGCTCACACAGGCTGTGGCGCTCCATATTCCTCATGACTGTTTTCCAGGGGACAGCCACTAAGATGCCCCTCCCTCCCTTCAGAGAATTCAGAATGTGAAAACTTTGGATGTTGAGACAAATGCCCCTCCACATGCTCCTACTTCTTTCCTTTGGAAAACCTGGGTGCTCTCCACCTTTTATCCACTCTGAGGGATGCGAAGTGACTTCTTTGGTAAAAATTGAGAAGCAAAAGCTGGGCATGCATGGCACAGGAAATCCCGTACTCCACTATAGGAACCAGAGCACCTGCAGACAGTAAGTGGTGTCTGGTGGAAGTTCAGATTTCAAGGCCTTGCCTGTCAGAGAATAAATTTGTCAACATTTGATGTTCAGCTAGCCAGCCTCATTTTACTCTCAAATGGTTTCATGCTTCAGCCCAGCTTATGTAAGGGCGGTGTTCCACTTTCTGCCTACCCTATTCATATTATTTCTCAATAGCTTCAGAACTCTGGCAGGAAAGATGGCTGCCATCGAGTGGGCTTCCTCAAAACCCCAGCAATCGATATGTATAGTTGGTTTCTTTCTTTTAAATGTAACGTTTTATTTCTGAGTCCAGTTCTTTGCACCATGCGAAACACAACTAAATCTCATTTGATTTATTATCTACCTCAACGGTCTGAGGCATCTTGGAAATTGACGGATAAAAACATGTGAAGCTTCAGAAATCCATACTCGGGATCATCAAGACTTCCCAGAGGCATCAGAGTCTAGACAAACACCATTTGGATCAGCTGTTTTCACCGACTAATCAGAGTATAATTTTTCTCAAGAATAACAGAAGAGCACAATGGTGTACACGGCTCTTAATTTATTGTAAGCTTGTCTTTCTCACTAGAAAAAAAATGCATCTTGTAATACCATATTTGCATCAGAGATACTAAAGTCTTGCTAAGTTTTGTTGCATTAAAAAAAAGGAAAGCACCAGATGGACACAAACAATATTCCTTTAACAAAAATGCTCCTTGAAAGGTCACAGAGTATGGTTACAAAATATATATATAGAGAGAGAGAGAACAGATATACCTTCTTTATTAACACTTTTCCTTCAGACTATAAAATATAATCAGAATTGAATCACCAATAAGATGTAGAAGAAACCAGGATATATTCTGCACTCCAGGAACAGATAAATAAAACTACACACATAAAAACACATTAATTACTCAACATGAACATATCTTTTAAGGATATATGTGAGTTGGACTAGATGATTTCCAAAGGTTTCTAAATCTTCTGAAGTACAATGGTTAAATTCATGCCTCATTGACCTCCCTCCAGTCAAACTATTGCCCTCGTTCACATTGAATACATCGTACATATGCCCGCCTGTACCCCTTGGCCAAACTGCCCTGCTATCTGCAGGTCCCTCTCCCCTCCCACCATTCCTTTAGGTCCCACATCTAACCCCAAACCATCAGATGCCCCTCTCCAAAGTTCACAGTTGCAGTAACCGTGACTGTATACAAACACACCCACGTGAACAGCAACATAAGTCATTTCTGTTATTGTTAATATGTCTTCAAATGCTTACACAACTTTTCCCACTGAGAGGTAACTTCCAGAAAAGTGATTATACAAGCTTATATTCGCTGAATGAAGGAAAGAACAAACAAAGACCTAACCTGGTAGAATGATACCACAATTAGATGAAAATGCGTACATAGAAGCCCTTTGTAAATTGTTAAAAATCTAACAAATGTAAGCAGTTCTGCCCATATCCCCAAAGCCCTGCAGGTAGCAGGTATGCTTGACAAACATTTATTGATGACAATACTGCAGAGAACAAAAGATAGGGTACAATAGAATAACAACAAATTATAGCACGGAAGCCACTAGAAATATCAGTGAGAGGAACATTTGGCTGTGAATCTAAAGGCATAATGATGACCGTGCGTGAAGCTGGAAACTGAATAACACTTTCATTTGTTCGAAACCCCTGCTAGCTACAGAAGGATGATTAAGATGATTACTGATTCACACAGGATAGTTAAGCTAAATACAAAGTAAAGTTCAGGCACACAAATGAAAAAAAGAGACTCTCTTCTCTACCACAATCCCCCAACAAAATTCCACCTGCAGGAACCTCACACCCTCTTCCAGTTCCACCACCAGTGCCGGCTACGCTGCCTTTGACATGATTTCCTCTTCTCAGAAAAGAGAAGCCCAAATGTAGCTTAGTAAATTACTGATAGACAGCACTAACCCCGTGAAAATATTCTCAGAACTAAAGTTGTAAGAATGTATTGAAAAACTGTAGGTCTGTAAATTTTGACTATCTGAAATCTCCTCTAGCATTTTAGCACCCTGGATGAAAAACAAAACTCACTCTCCTCACCTGTCTTCCTGGGATCAAGCAACTTGGGATCTGCTGTCATGAACCCGGGGAAGGAAGCGTTCAATCCTGAGGAGAGCAGGGGTCTGACCCGGGCTTCCCTCCCCTCCGTTCTTACACTCCCAGTCTAACTGTGGCTGTCAGGGGCCCGAAGACGGGCACCAGAGAAAATGGCGACTGATGACAGGTGGCTGGCATGAAAGGAAAACTCACGACAATGTTACAAGTAGAAGATAATTGTGCAAAATGCCCTGGTCATATTTCTTTTCATTATTGGAGTATCTGAAGATTATTTTCTATTTTTTAACCTTGAGGACAACGGTTTGACCGGTTCTTCTGGACAACTAGCAACAGGCACCAAGACCTCCTGAAGACTGCAAGGAATTCAACATCTTGAAGCTCGCAGGCTAGCCCCTTCTTTAAGAATTTATTTATTTTTAAGTAATTAGCTCCTCACTTTATCCGTTCCTTGATTCTTCCCAACTATAAATTAACGTAGTTTGTAACGAACATAGTCATATTCATAAAACGCAAACAGAAAACCAAGGCCTGAAAAAGAATTGGAAACAAATAGTATTCTCATGGAGATGACCATGGCACAGCACAAAATAATCTGTGTCAGACCCAGATCTGCTAATTATTGTTACACAATGTGATAAAATTACTGACATCATCTGACCCTCAGCTTTCCCACTTATAAAGACTACAATAAACTCTCTGAAGGGCTTGTGGTGATTTTTAAGTCAGATAACAAAGAAAAGAGCATTCAGTACAGCGTTTAACACCCGGTACATCTCAAATAAACGTCTGTCTCCTCTCCCCTTGAGAATTACCAAGCATTTAAGGATCTAACTAATTTTACACATACACATACACAAACACAAATGCAAACACACAATGTCTCTGGAATGTGGATTAGGAAGAAAAAAAGGTCCAAATGCAAAAAAAAAAAAAAAGTTATTCTTGTTACTTTAGGCAACACAGTACTAGTCAATTAATGAGAATAACTTCTTAACAAATGTATAAAATATACCTATCTTATTTGAGGGGGCAATATTATTGCAGTGAAATATTTAGAAAATTGCTGGGAACACTTATGGCATGACAGAATGAGATAAGCCTGTCCCTACTCCTAATTTTTCAATTCAAAATAATCAATATTAAGTGTACAGGCTTTGAAATTATGACTGCCTTGTACCAAGCACTTAAATAAAAATAACACAGAACTTG